ATTGAAAAGTGCTTTTACATTATTGCTACGCACGCCCCGTCACGCGCCGTCATTCCCACACGCGCCGTCACTCCCGCACGCCCCTTCAGCCCCGCACGCCTTGTCCCCACCACACGCAACGCTCGCCCCATTATACCTGCACGCACAGTCACCCCCACACACCCCGTTTTCCACGCACGCCACTTTGTCCGCGCACGCACCGTACGCCCCGTCCCCACCGCACCCCTCATCATCCCCGCACGCCTCGTTACCACGAAACGCATCGCACGCCCCGTCACTCCCGCAAGCACCGCACGCCCCATCACCCCCACGTCCCGTTATCCCCGCACGCACCGCACGCCACGTCGTCCACGCACGCACCGTACGCCCCGTCCCCACCGCACGTCTCATCACCCCCACTCGCCCCGTTGCCCCCGCACGCACCTCACGCCCCGTTATCCCTGCACGTACCGCACGCCCCGTCACCACCGAACGCCCCATCACCCCCGCGCACCCGTTATTTCCGTACACACCGCACGTCCCGTTATCCCCACACGCACCACACGCCCCGTCACCTCCTCACGCCTTGTCACCCCAGTACGCTCCCTTATCCCCGCACACAGTCACTACCGCAAGCCCCGTCACCCCCAAACGCCACGTCACCACCGCACGCTCCGTCACCCTCCACACGCACCGCCCGCCCCGTTAACCCCGCACATACCGCACGCCCCGTCACCACCGCACTACCCATCATCACCGCACGCCTCGTTATCCCTGCACGCACCGCACGCCCCGTTATCCCCGCACGCACCACACGCCACGTCACCCCTGCACGCCCCGTTATCCCCGGACTCACCGCACGCCTCGTTATACCTGCACACACCACACGCCCCGTTTTACCCGCACGCACCGCATACCCCATCCTCCCGCACACGCCCCGTTATCCCCACACGCACGGCACGCCCCGTTATCCCCGCAAACACCGCACGAGCCGTTTTCACCGCACGCACCGTACGCCCCGTCACCCCCGCACGCACCGCACGTCTCGTTACACCCGCACGCCTCGTTATCCCCGCACACACCGCACGCCCCGTTATCCCCGCACACAACGCACGCCCCGTTATCCCCGCACACACCGCACGCCCCGTTATCCCCGCACACACCGCACGCCCCGTTATCCCCGCACACACCGCACGCCCCGTTATCCCCGCACACACCGCACGCCCCGTTATCCCCGCACACAACGCACGCCCCGTTATCCCCGTACGCACCGTACGTCCCGTCACCCCCGCACGCACCGCACGCCCCGTTATCCCCGCACACACCGCACGCCCCGTTATCCCCGCACACAACGCACGCCCCGTTATCCCCGTACGCACCGTACGTCCCGTCACCCCCGCACGCACCGCACGCCCCGTTATCCCCGCACACACCACACGCCCCGTTATCCCCGCACACAACGGACGCCCCGTTATCCCCGTACGCACCGTACGTCCCGTCACCCCCGCACGCAGCACCGCACGCCCCGTTATCCCCGCACACACCGCACGCCCCGTTATCCCCGCACACAACGCACGCCCCGTTATCCCCGTACGCACCGTACGCCCCGTCACCCCCGCACGCACCGCACGCCCCGTTATCCCCGCACACACCGCACGCCCCGTTATACCCGCACACACCGCACGCCCCGTTATCCCCGCACACACCGCACGCCCCGTTATCCCCGCACACAACGCACGCCCCGTTATCCACGTACGCACCGTACGTCCCGTCACCCCCGCACGCACCGCACGTCTCGTTACACCCGCACGCCCCGTTATCCCCGCACACACCGCACGCCCCGTTATCCCCGCACACACCGCACGCCCCGTTATCCCCGCACACACCGCACGCCCCGTTATCCCCGCACACACCGCACGCCCCGTTATCCCCGCACACAACGCACGCCCCGTTATCCCCGTACGCACCGTACGTCCCGTCACCCCCGCACGCACCGCACGCCCCGTTATCCCCGCACACACCGCACGCCCCGTTATCCCCGCACACAACGCACGCCCCGTTATCCCCGTACGCACCGTACGTCCCGTCACCCCCGCACGCACCGCACGCCCCGTTATCCCCGCACACACCGCACGCCCCGTTATCCCCGCACACAACGGACGCCCCGTTATCCCCGTACGCACCGTACGTCCCGTCACCCCCGCACGCACCGCACGCCCCGTTATCCCCGCACACACCGCACGCCCCGTTATCCCCGCACACAACGCACGCCCCGTTATCCCCGTACGCACCGTACGCCCCGTCACCCCCGCACGCACCGCACGCCCCGTTATCCCCGCACACACCGCACGCCCCGTTATACCCGCACACATCGCACGCCCCGTTATCCCCGCACACACCGCACGCCCCGTTATCCCCGCACACAACGCACGCCCCGTTATCCCCGTACGCACCGTACGCCCCGTCACCCCCGCACGCACCGCACGTCTCGTTACACCCGCACGCCCCGTCATCCCCGCACACTGCTACACAATCACACGATGCACGCATGTGAGAACGCCAACTGTGCCACCCCATCGCAGGAATATAACAAGAGCATCTGGCCATGCCAGATTTCCAATTGGGGCAAAGAAGAGCTCCAGGTAAGAACAAATAGTGTACCTCTAGTGCTCCCTATAGTGTAGTTATAATAAGTGAAATTGTGTAACTGCCGCGATTATTCTATATAATACAATAAATTGTTTCTTAGTTTGGTTTCATTCTTTCAATAGATCAGTCCCTTAGCTTAAAGTTCGTCAACTAGTCGGATAAGCAAACAGTCAACTCATTTCGGTCAGTCATCTCTTACAGTCTATTGAATAAAACTATTTTTTACGGATTTTATCGCGTTTAATTTACTTATTTTATATTCCCGACGTTTCGGTTGCTTTCCAGCAACCGTGGTCACGGGGGACTGAGGTGATTGACGTCCTGATGTCAAAGTTAACCCGGAGTACCTTCAGCTTTTTAATTATTAATTTTGGTCCGATCTACGCAGAATGAACTAACTGTGTCTTGAAGTCTTACAGTGGTATGCTTGGGTTTAGTTTTAATTTTATGAATTACAGGATCCCAAGCAGGTGGTAGTACCCAGCCTCCCTCTCTATTGAAATTAGGATGTTTTTTAATTTCAATAGCCTCACGTATCATCCTTGGCAGGAATCGATGTTCTTTCGCGAGGACTTGTGGTTTATCAAATCTAATGTAATGACGGGGGCCGTCTAGGATATGATCACAAACTGCAGACTTCCCGGAACGTTGGTGCTTCACGTCAGCTATGTGTTCTTTTACGCGGGTTTTTATTGATCGTTTTGTTTGCCCTATATATGAGAGACCACACTCACAATCAAGCTTGTATACTCCTGCATCTTGTAGAGGAATATTGCACTTGACGGATGGTAAGAACTGACTAATCTTCTTCGGCGGCTTGAAGAATGTTCTAATAGAAGCTCGCTTCAAGATGTAGCCAATCTTGTCTGTGACACCTCTGACATATGGTAGTACAGCAGGCACACGCTCGACTGTGGCCGGCTTCACTCGGTCACTGTGACGTAGGCGCGGAACCCGAAGCTTGTTGTCGTGCAGAACCTGCTTGACGTGCTGAAGCTCGGCGGCCAGGTGTTTGCTGTCACAGATCCCTCGTGCTCTCTGCAACAAAGATTTGCCCACGGTAGCTAACTGTGAAGGGTGATGGTGGGATTCACCGTTTAAGTATGGGTTTGTATGGGTCTTTTTTCTATACACAGTGTGACCTACGGTGTTATTAGGATTTCGATTTCACAATTTTACCATCAGACAAAGTAACTGCATTTTTAGAACATCTTAATTCCATAAACTCTAAAATTCAATTTACTATGGAGTTAGAGGCAAATAATTCTTTAGCTTTCCTAGATGTGTTAGTCATTCGAAATCTGATGGTAAAATTGTGAAATCGAAATCCTAATAACACCGTAGGTCACACTGTGTATAGAAAAAAGACCCATACAAACCGATACTTAAACGGTGAATCCCACCATCACCCTTCACAGTTAGCTACCGTGGGCAAATCTTTGTTGCAGAGAGCACGAGGGATCTGTGACAGCAAACACCTGGCCGCCGAGCTTCAGCACGTCAAGCAGGTTCTGCACGACAACAAGCTTCGGGTTCCGCGCCTACGTCACAGTGACCGAGTGAAGCCGGCCACAGTCGAGCGTGTGCCTGCTGTACTACCATATGTCAGAGGTGTCACAGACAAGATTGGCTACATCTTGAAGCGAGCTTCTATTAGAACATTCTTCAAGCCGCCGAAGAAGATTAGTCAGTTCTTACCATCCGTCAAGTGCAATATTCCTTTACAAGATGCAGGAGTATACAAGCTTGATTGTGAGTGTGGTCTCTCATATATAGGGCAAACAAAACGATCAATAAAAACCCGCGTAAAAGAACACATAGCTGACGTGAAGCACCAACGTTCCGGGAAGTCTGCAGTTTGTGATCATATCCTAGACGGCCCCCGTCATTACATTAGATTTGATAAACCACAAGTCCTCGCGAAAGAACATCGATTCCTGCCAAGGATGATACGTGAGGCTATTGAAATTAAAAAACATCCTAATTTCAATAGAGAGGGAGGCTGGGTACTACCACCTGCTTGGGATCCTGTAATTCATAAAATTAAAACTAAACCCAAGCATACCACTGTAAGACTTCAAGACACAGTTAGTTCATTCTGCGTAGATCGGACCAAAATTAATAATTAAAAAGCTGAAGGTACTCCGGGTTAACTTTGACATCAGGACGTCAATCACCTCAGTCCCCCGTGACCACGGTTGCTGGAAAGCAACCGAAACGTCGGGAATATAAAATAAGTAAATTAAACGCGATAAAATCCGTAAAAAATAGTTTTATTCAATGTGTAGTGTTCGAGTAAATATAAGAAATCATTATCTTACAGTCTAGTCAGTCCACTTGCTCTCCCCGTCCTTTTCAATTATGAATGATACCTGTTCGGGCGGCTGCAGCAGCGCGGCGGGCAGCGTGGGCGGCGGCGGGAGCCCGCGCGTGGCGCGCTGCACCAGCCACATGGCGGCCGCGAACTGATCCCGCGTCAGCTTGCCCACTCCACCGCTGTCGCACAGCGCCCTATGGGATAATATCTCGCATTTTCAACCTAAGACCAAACTATGATAGAAGAAAACGAAAAACAAAATTAACGGTTTACTCATTATATATTATTTACTTATTACTGTATCATAGTGGCGGTGCAAGAATATCCAATATCATATCATCCCGTAAGGTGTCGTAAGAGGCTACAGATGGAAACAGATCAGGAGATGGGCAGCAGCGTCTTCCTAAAAACGACTAAAACAAAAACCTGCGGTTGTTAACCCGTGGTAACTATGACAAATATCTCACCTAAGAGGTAATCTATATAACTATATAAGGAAGCCTATGTTCAGCAGTGGACTTTTATTGGCTGTAACGGTATTACACCTTCACTTTTTTGGTAACTACCTTAGTTTACAACACCCATCGTTGGTCGAGAGAACCGAGAGGTTTGACATCCTGATGTCATAGTTAACGAAGGCTACCTTCAAATTTAAACTTTGGTTTTAAGTTTGATAACAAGTTAAAAGCTTGGTAAAAATATTTAGATTCTAATTGTTAATATGTATTTTTTTAGAACTGACTATTCATGACACGTTGTAAATGGGCCTAATAAATAAATAAATAAATAATGACTTCTTATAGACGGTAGTATGACTCTTTTTGTTTCAGTGATTTTTTAAATTTTCAATTTAATCTATTTCTATCTACATTGAAAATAAAAGACGGAGACACAAAATACGGCAAATCGTTAATATAAGTCAAAATAAGAAAAACGCCCAGAATAGAACCTTGCGGCACATCTATTTGAACAAATGACCCGACTGATTTTACTCTATTTTTTTCAACGTTTTGAATGCGTCTCGTAAAATATGATCTAATAAGTTCAAGAGATGTATCCTTTATTCCGTAGTGAAGCAGCACATAACATTTACACAGCAATTACATAATAGAATTTCGTGATCAACACAATCAAAAGCTTTAGAAAGATCATAGAAAATACCAAAATTGTTTATGTCCTTATGGCAGTTCTCACGATCACCGCTTACGATACGCATGTGACAATATGGGTTTATGGGTCTCTTATATCGCCAAATCGTATATTTTATAATTTCTTGGGTTGTCAGTAGTTACAGCAGTGACCGAGTATATGGGCGCATTTTATCCAAAACTAAGCCGTGACTCTGAACCTCAGATACCGAATTCCAGATCTAGGTTGAACTTTAGAACTTACCAAATGTGGGCAAGGGTCTGTTGCGGCAGTCCACTACGTAGGAAGGTGTCCCGAATCTCCGCACCGGAGACCAGCCCGTCGCGATCCAGATCAGCCGCCTCGAACTGAGCGTCGTATTGCGCCCGCTCACTCGCCGTAGGGCCCAAAGTTGAACTGTTCGACGAGCCGCTCATCGTACTGTTGGTCAAGCCGCTCGGCATACTGCTGGGTACGCTGGGAGGTGTCGCAGTGGGCGGCTAAAACAAAATCGAGAAGTTAAATTTCTCGGTTCAATCTAGTAGTGCTACATCGATCCCGAACATGTTAACAAACCGCAAATAATGAACATGAATAATTCGTCCCCGCATATATCAAATTTAATAGATCACATCCTTGCAAAAGTATACCTACAAGGGGAAATTGTAGTGAAGGATTAAGCAATTAAAATAAAAAAAAAAGTCTTTACTTCAATAGAAGAGACAGTTTATTAATCACGTCTATTTAACAGTAATTGACAGTACACTGTTGTCACTATTGCACGAATCACTCTTTAAAACTTATAAAAACTATTAAAATAAATTAAACTAGTAAGAGGTCGTACAAAGCACTGTATATTCAATGAACACCATCAGGCGTCTCCAATACAATAATGTATACTCACGGAAGACAGGTCGAGCAGTCCCTCCAGCAGCATGGCGTTGGAGGCGGGCTGCGGCGGGTGGGCGGGCTGCGGCGGGTGGGCTGGCTGCGGGGGCTGCGGGGGGTGCAGGGGGTGCGGCGGCTGCGGGCGCGGCGGCCGCGGCTGCGGCGAGGGCGGGCGGGACGGCGGCCGCGAGGGCGGCCGGGACGGAGGGCGGGCGGGCTTCGCGCGCAGCTCCGGCGGCAGGCACGTGGGCACCGCGTGCTTCTCCAGCGCCTTGTACACCAGGTGCATGGCCTGCGCACCAACCGAACACGCACTAGATACCATTAAAGTATACAGAAAAAATATTGTACAACGGTACGGGGCGCGTAGTAACGCACAGAGTAAGATTTCATGGCACGAACTAAACAAGTTTGAGCCCATGGGCTCTACTAATCAGTTCCTCGACAGCATTGCTAACGGGTACTAAACGCATTGCATTGAATCATTACACCACATTCATCATTGGAGCACGTTAGCAATTTGCAAGGGTTATTTCTTAGGCCTATTACCGAATATTGATATTATGAAAACTAAGCTTAGCGTTAAGTTGTTTGTCAAAAATATTATTTTAATATCAGATTGGCCAAATCAGTAAATTAGTTCAGTTTGCGATTTTGTATCAAAATATACAAAAATCAAGTGGTACAATTAAAAATTTTGTACAACCGACTTCAATATAAATTATTAAGGATAACTCAAAAACTACTGATCAGACCTTGATCAAATTTATATGGGACCACATGAGAAACACCAGATTTCAAATTAAAAAAAAATTGAATCGAAATCTGTTCACCGAGAAAGAAGTTATGAGGTAACACACTTTAAAAAACATACAGTCGAATTGAATAGCTTTTTAAAGTCGGTTCAAAAACGTAGGTCACACGCAAACGAATGTCAGAACAGATAAATGATAAAGAAACGGATGGAGGGAAGCATTTTTTTTTCATAGAACAGGGGGCAAACGAGCATTCGGCTCACCTGATGGTAAGTGACTACCGCCGCCCATCAACAACCGCAACACCAGGGAAATCGCAGATGCGTTGCCGGCTTTTTAGAAAGGTGTAAGCTCGTTTCTTGAAGGTGCCTAAGTCGTATCGGTCCAGAAAAATCGCCGGTGGTAAACAATTCCACAGAGAAGTTGTACGAGGAAGAAAATTCCTAGTAAAACGCACAGTCGTGGACCGCCAAGCATCCAGATGGTGAGGACGGTATCGTGAATTTTGACGCGATGTGCGTTGGTGAAATTTGGCGGCTGGAATTAATCCGAGCAATTCCTCAGAGCACTACCCGTGGTAAATTCGATAGAAAATGCAAAGGGATGCAACATCCCTACGCAATGCCAGTGTATCGAGCCGATCAGAAAGAACTCGGTCGTCGACTATTCGAACCGCTCTGCGCTGGATGCGGTCAAGTGGAAGGAGATGGCACCTGATTTATATTAATAGAATAAAGACCCCTGCCAACCATCGTTAAACAAAATACCTGCTTTGAAATAGATATTGAAATCTATGAATTCGGATTGATTAACAGATAACCGCAATGATTAATAGATATTATTCATAAACTCACCACAATGAACTCATGTCTATCCAACATTCCATCTTTGTCCTGATCGGCAAGGTCCCAAATTTTTCCAAGAGTCTCTAAAGGCAATTTTGATTCCATCAAGACGCCTTTAACCTGAGATTGACAAAGAAAAAGTCGCTTAATAAAATTAGCTTCGGTAAAGGATAAAAAGATGTGTGAAATGGATGATTTTATGAAGATCGCATATTTTTATTTTATATTATTGTTTTAAGGAAAACTTACAGTTATTTAAATCAATTGTTTTCATACATTTATGTAGAAATTAACCATTACAAAGTTTTCACATATAGATTAGAAAATAAAAGGGTAGAGTCGAAACGCATATATGTTTGCCTTAACTTACATTTTAGACCTATTTATGTACTGCTAGCGCTCAGTATTTTTTTTTTAATTATTCTAGATTAAATGTTAAGTTTTTGAATGTAAATAAATTCCTCCATAAAAATCAGTTTAGTTTTACAAGGGTCTCTCGACAACAGATGCCGCGTTGAGCTGATTATGTTTAATCATTTTCCGTACATGGGAGAATTCAGAGGATGCTTTGGGTATATTTTGTAATCTTTCCTAGGCTTTCGACTGCGTTCACCATGAGACATTAATCAAGAAGCCACATCATTATGGTGTAAAAAACATAGCGCTTAAACTTATTACATCATATCTAAATAATAGAACGCAAACAGTTGTTATTAACGGCACCAGTTTTTCCGGATCGGTAGTATCTATGGGTGTTCCTCGGGGCTCAATTCAAGGCCCCTTCTTGTTCTTAGTTGATATTAATGACTACCTTACTTGGTAGGGAATAACCATTATATAGTTTTATTTGCTGAGGATACTTCATTTATTTTCCGACTTAAAAAGCAATTATTAAAATGTGACGAAGTGAATAATGCTATATCAAATGTCATACACTGGTTTAACATAAATAATTTGCCTATAAACTGCAATAAAACTAAATGTATTAAATTTACAACACCAAATGTAAAACAGGTGAATACCAGTGTGCTTTTAAATGGGGAGGAGCTGCGTCTTGTTGTATCCACTGTTTTTCTCGGAATTACAGTTAACGCTAAGCATCAATGGGGTCCTTTATATCTAAACTAGCTAACTTAGTTCTGCAGCATATGCTGTAAAAATATGAGGTGTGTTGTGATCGATAGCATTGCTTACCTTGTTGCCGGGGATGAGACCATTATTGGGCTGTAGTGAGTCGAACAACTGACTGTATTTCTCGCGCTCGGCCGGCTTGATGCTCCAGTCGCCCGTGGAAGCCACGGGAGCACTGGGTGGTGGAACCTTGGGCAACTCGCCCTAAAAACAACATGAATATTGATGGTAAGGGAAAATATTTCCAGAATTATCTTAAGTTCTTGAAGACAAGATTTGGATCGATTTGAGCACACGTTTTTAATGTAGAGAGAGAACTCTACGAGAACTTTTCAAAGAGACTAATATTTTGACACTTTCTTCGTGGTTAAAAATAGCAACTACCCCATAGTATCCTGTGGGTGTCGTAAGAGACAACAGACGGAAACTAGGAGATGGGCAGCTTTTTTTGTTTTTATAACAATTAAAGATTAAGAAACAGCGGTAGCCAACCCAAGCCAAGCCAAGTGTGGCAACTATAGAATAATTCTCCCTATGAGACAACCTATGGGAAAGACCTATGTTCAGCGGTTGACTTTAGATAGGCCATCCATCCATCCATTTTTTTTTTACTTATTATAAGCCAGTGCTTGACCACAATCCCACCTGGTGGTAAGTGGTGATGCAGCCTTAGATGGTGAATCGCACTGTCTTATCGTAACAAAAGCCTATTCACTCTTGCCTTGAAGACGCCTAGATTGTATTCGGACGGAAAGATAGACGCCAGCAAATTATTCCACTCCTTTGCTGTACGCATTACAAAAGACGAAGCAAACCGTTTGGTTCTAATGCGTGGAATATCGACAACAAAGGGATGAAGACCCGCCGACCGTCTGGTTGTCCGATGGTGGAAAGGCGAAGGAGGAATTAAGGCGTGTAATTCCTGCGCACATTCACCGAAATGCATCCTATAGAATACCGAGATTGGCTACTCTGCGCCTGTGCTCGAGGCTGACAAGATTGGTTTCAACCAAATCAAGGTCACTTAGCACGTCTCTCCACTAAGCCCAATGCTGCCAGGTGGCATTTTGCAGCACCAGCCCATATGTGACAGCAGTACTCCATGCACGACCGCACTTAAGCTTTGTATAAGGTAAGAAGCTGCCCCGGCGTTAAGTACCGCCGCACCCTTGCAAGGACACCAAGTTTCCTTGCGGCTGCTTTAGCTCTGGACTCAATGAACCGCCCATAGTTTAGGTTCGGAGAAAATTCAATCCCTAACAACTGAAGGCGGTCAGTGTACTCCAAGGATACATTCCGGAAAGTAGCAGCCAAGGTGAGCGGGCTCCTTTTAGCGGTAAAAAGACACGCTTGTGTTTTGAAGGCGTTAAATCTCACGAGATTGGCATCGCCCCATTCGGAGACTGCCTGTAGTGTGAGACTCACACGTTCAACCATAGCCTCTCTTTCTGACTGGATTTGATCCCGACTGGCCCGGGCGCTTGGTTGGTATCTCTCCACAACTGTGCTGTCGTCTGCATACCCATAGACACCGGGAATGAGCAGATCATTTATATGCAGCAGGAAGAGAGTTGCGGAGAGAACGGACCCCTGAGGAACACCGGCGTTAGTCGCCACAGTATCGGATGAGCAGCCATCAACGACGACGCGGAGAGACCGTTCACTCAGAAAGTCCTTCACCCAGACAATTAGGCCAGGGGATAAGCCGTACGCTGAAAGCTTGCCCAATAGACTAGCGTGCCAAACCGTGCAAAAGCCTTCGAAACATCGACGGAAACAGCAAGTGCTTCACCACTGTTCTCGAGGGCTTCGCCCCATATATGAGTGGCATACGCTAGAAGGTCCCCAGTTGATCGATTTCGGCGAAACCCGTACTGGCGATCACTGAGGAGATCATTTTGCTCTAGGTATGCCATGAGGTGGGCGTTCAATATACGCTCCATAATCTTGCAGAGTATGGAGGTAATTGAAATTGGCCGATAGTTGGCAGGGCAACTCAGGTGCACAGACCTTTAGAACTATAGCTGGTATACCATCAGGTCCACTAGCTTTATTCACGTCTAGACTTCGCATGGTTTTAAGAACCTCCTTGTTGGTGATACGGACCTCAGACATAGAGGTACCGCAGTGAGGTAATTGAGATGGTACGCTGTTGCTACTGTCCATACGCGAATTGCAAGCAAAAAGAGAAGCAAATAAGTCCGCTTTCTCCTTAGGCGCATTCGCCTGTGAGCCATCTGGTTTTACCAGCGGAGGCAGTGTAGGCCGACAGAAGTTTGTCTCGACCGCTTTGGCGAGAGCCCAAAAAGCTCTACTGCCAGATGGTTTGACAAAGAGCTTTGTGCCGATGCGTTTAATGCGGTCGAAACTGGCTTGGCGTGATGCCTTTTTGCACGACTTGACGGCTTGGTTAAAGGCTCTCTTCCTAAGGCTAACATCCAGAGCTTTACGGTCTCGAGCATCGACCCAGGATAAGTACGCCATATGCTTGTGCTTTTCAGCACGAGCGCACTCGGCGTTAAACCAAGGGCGAGCTTTACCACCAATGGAATGGGCACGACAGCAAAGGGGATGAAATACTCCATTGCTTGACGTATCACATTGGTTATGGCATCCGCGCAGCTCGATGGGCCTTCAGAGGAGAAGTAGACCTGCCGCCAAAGATAAGATGCAAAGAAATGCCACATCTCATCCCAATCTGCTGACTTGTTTCGCCATATTCGTCGCACTCCGTGGAAATCGTAGTTAGGTGGGGAATATAACGACACAGATTTCACCAGACAGTGGTCAGAAGTTCCCAAGGGTGAGGTAACCTAAACATCGTACCTGTCTGGATCGGTCGTCAGCAGAAGGTCGAGGCAGTTGGCTGTGTGCCCATCCACATCAGGTACCCTAGTCGCTTGTTGTACCAGCTGGGAGAGCCCCAGCGACAAGGCCAAATTCCACGCCTCTCTCCCAGCGTGGTCGGTCTTCTGGTATGGGAACAGCCAGTCCTGATGACAGGCATTAAAATCCCCCAGAAAAACCAACTGTGCATTAGGGCACCGATTTAGAGCCACATCAGAGGCTTCACTGAGGTGTTCAAACGGCCTAGTTGTCTCCTGGTCGGCGCTGTGCGATCGGTAGACACAAGAATAAATAATTTTATCCATTCCTGTGTCAATCAATACCCAGATCGTAGAGAAAGTGGGGTCAAGGTAACGGAGACGCTTACAGCAGATGTCGTTGCGGACGTAAACACAGACTCCGGCGCGCTGATGGAAATTATGCTCCAATGTGTACCCAGGGTAGCCAAGGTACGCCGCATCTAGAGGACATCTGATCTGCGTCTCAGTCAAGAAGAGTAAGTGCGGCTTGTCAGTCTCAAGGTGGTAATGGACTGTATTGAGATTACAGCGCAGGCCTCGGATGTTTGTGAGGTGCAATTTAAGCCTATAAAAGTCCACTGCTGAACATAGGCCTTGCCATAAATTGCCTTATAATAGGGATTTCGCTATAGTTGTAACACTTGACTAGCGGAAATGGCAACAGCAGTTTTTCATTATTTTGAGTTGTGATCAGAAAGATGCTGCTATCCATCTCCTGTTTCAATTTCCCTTTGTCACCTCTTACGAAACCCACGGATCGACATAAGGTAGTAGATATTCTTACACCGCCACTACAGTAACGCCAAATATATTTCTAGGTTTCTGGACTTGTTCCAGCACTGAAATTTAAAGGGGGATTTGATCCACGGAGCAAATACAAAGAGGAGGTGTTGTAATTAGATTTCACTATGTAACAACGCGTGACAATATGCGAAGTGAGGGGGTGTTAAGCCCAGCCCACTTAACTATTTTTCATCTACCGATAAATAGTAAAACTACTAGCATCGTTCCACATCGATGTTTTAATGTACGATAGATGGCGACCTGTTCACAAAATGATTATAAAAACAATAAAAGTAATATTTTAGCGATTAAAATTCTTTAGAACTGAATGCAAAACAAATTTTAGCACTTTCGTATGAGTATTTTACCAATACTGAGCTCTACGAATCTTTATATTTATAGTTCCCATGACACAAAGTATCGCCATCTAGTGTCGCATATATTTAATTATATTTGAAAGCAGACGAAAAGAGATTTTTCTAGAACCAGTTTAATAAATTAGGTATAAAATTACTTATAAATTAAATGTGATGCCATCCACAGCATCAGAGCGTCTGAGTAAAACACAACACTTCATCCTTTTCTTATTAATACTACGAAAATACACCGATTTGCGATTTTACTCATAAGCGCACAGAACGAATGCTGATAGTATACTAACAAAAGCCACGCCCACTGTGATGACGTCAGGACCTAGTTAGAATCACAGTGCACAGCTGCTTAGGCCGTCTCCTCTTTGTATTTTCTCCGTGGATTTGGTCTACTTACGACTTTCGGCGGCGGCGCCTCGCTATGTATATTACTCATGTTGATGTCCTTGCCAGCTTGCGCCAGGGCCACCAGTTTGAGCGCCACGAACAGCCCTGCCTGAAACAAGAAAATGGTGACCATTTCAAGAATGACTACTAGATAGAGTTTCTGGAGATCTGTCTAAGAGTCCCTAGTCCTTATGGGTAAGTACCACCCTCTTACCTGCCTGAAACAACAATTTTTTTTTTAGATAAATTCTTCTATTTCAAGAACGCGTTAAACAATAGCGTCGCTACAATATTTTTACTGGTAGCGAGGAATTTCACTTATTAGTCTTTATGGGTGCATCTTCAATTTGATTTTAAATCGAGAATAGATACATAAACTTCGCCTATATTTGGATAACATTATTTGGTTTTAGGTATACACTTATTAAATATACGAGTAGGTGGTAGGGCTCATGTTTTGTCTAGGAGTCCGTATAAGTAGTTACCGACCTCTTACTTATTAATACCACCAAACAGCAGTGCGTGCAATGCAGTGTTTTGCTCTAGAGAGTGTAGAGAGCCAGTATAATTATATACCGTGAGGCATTCCATCCTAATCCTCAGGGATGACAGCGCAACTGTAGCATTATTTTATTGAAATTAAAAAATGTAATATACACTCTTTAGACAAACTCAAGCTAGTGATACCAGTTACTCGACTTCACAAAATCAGTAATTCATTCATGGGGCAATGTATACGACATTACAACAAAATCCCCGAAAATATGCAAGGTCACAATTGCCAACATAATTTTTTTTTAAACAAAAACTGTATAGTAATGGTTATTATTATAAAAATGAATACATGGTTGAATAACCCCTGGAAATGAGGTGGTCGCTTCCAAGCTGTTTTGTAAGTAGTTTGTATAAGTTGTGTTTTTATTGTATAACTAGCTGTTCCCCGCGACTCGCCCGCGTGGAACTTGGATTTAATGGGTTTTAAATTGTTTGCGCGGAACCCTAATTCTTTTTGTAAAACAAAAGTAGCCTAAGTTACTCCTTATATCATCAGCTATCTGCCAGTGAAAATCCTGTCAAAATCGGTCCAGCCGTTTCGGATATTAGCCGGAACAAACAGACAGACAAACAGACAGACACAGACAGACAGACCGACATACAGACAAAAATTCTTAATATTGTTTTTGTTATTAGTACTTTATATACTTTCATATGTACCAGTGTGTTTATTTACCAGTGCGTGTTGCCAGTGATGACTTACGGATCTGAGACGTGGTCCTTCACTGCTGGCCGTATGAGGAAGCTCAAGGTCGCTCAGCGAGCTATGGAGAGGGCTATGCTCGGGGTTTCTCTGCGTGATAAACTTAGAAATGAGGATATCCGCAGTAGAACCAGAGTAACCGACATAACCCAACGGATTAGTAAGCTGAAGTGGCAGTGGGCCGGCCATATAGCTCGAAAAACCGACAACCGATTGGGAAGAAAGGTTCTCGAGTGGCAGCCTCGTACCGGTAGGCGAAGTGTAGGGCGACCCCCACTAAATGTAGTGACGACCTGGTGAGACATGCAGGAAGTCGATGGATGCAGGTGGCTCAGGACCGTGCTTTGTGGCATTCCTTGGAGGAGGCTTATGTTCAGCAGTGGACTTGTGAAGGGCTGTAATGATGATGACGATGATACTTTCATATGCATTTAGTAAAAAGCTGTTATTTTAACATTACAAACAGACACTTCAATTTTATTTATTTGTATAGATTTGACTTGGAAAAAAAATATTCAAGCTAGATTTCTTGCTGGTTCTTCTCAGGACAAAGTTTATTTTCCAAAACAATGGTAAAATTTTTAAATTTAAAAAAAAAAACTTTCAATAAGAATTAAATATTCTTGATTACTTATTCTATTATTACTGAAATCGGACAACAAGGTAATAAATAATCACTGAGCATACATAAAAAAATATTCCAACGAATTGAGAACATCCTTGTTTTTAGAAGTCCGTTAATATAATTAATTTTACATATTTTATCGTGTTTGAATTCATTTTTAATTTCGCTTAATATCATGACGCCATCGATTCGATGTTTAGAACGATTCGATAAATACGTTAATTTATAAGGCAGTTATATTACGCAACTACAACCGGCCACTTCCAATCAATCACATTAATTTTTAAACGTAATGCAACAAATTGAAACTACTCCAGAGATTGGTCGCGCGACTAAACACTTAATAGTAGTTTTATCAGACCGGTTGTTGAGGAAAGAGATAAATTTATTATTTCATTTTTATTCGTCAAAAAACGTAAAACCCGAGTAGGATTTTCATCTGTATCATGGAGGCGGTTCAACCATAAATTGCACAAGGACACATCCATTCCCGGAACAATTATTTGTAGGACATACAAACACGTTATCCTCCATGCGTAATTAGAACCCGCCGCCTTGCAGCGCTGCGACTAAATTGCTCCACTACGGACCCGTCAAAAACCAAATGTGAAGCTGGAAGAGACAAGCTGCATCGTGCTGCCTGTTGCACGAATGGGTCGGCTCCACTGGGGAAGGATCTCTGACAGAATACCAGTGTCACGTAGCAACGTATGCCGCTGTATTACGTACGGTGAGTGTAGAACCAAAGACCTTTTTTACTAGTAACGAGACATTCCATATTAATCTTCTAAAGTGACAACGCATCTATATTTTTATTCTTAATCGAGGATAGATGTATATGTCTATTGATATCCACTTACCATCAGGTGGACTATGTGCACCTTTTACGACATTAAAGTCACAGCCTGTATACGTCCGACTACTGGACACAGACCTGCCATCTTCTGAGAGTTATGAAACAATTATTCAGTCGTACTTCTCCAGTGCGTCTCGGTCTTCACCGCACGTGGTAAACCAGTGCCGGCGAGGATCACACCCGTAGTTATTTGATATTTACGGTAAACGCTCTGCTTCTAAGCTAAGACGGTTAACAGCACTAGCACACGTACTGTCAGTATATTCATACACAAGAATAAACAACAAACCTTAAACTTGGCATTGAAGTAATATGTACTACGTATTAGAACAGACACCGCGAACAAAATCTGTGCGGCAGGGCGGGCCGCGTGGAAACAGACACAGAGTACCTTTGTATGAAGAGTAAGTTTGAGCCCGCGGGCTCTAACAGGTGTTCAAAACAACCCAGTCTCGGCGTCTCTTCTTTTTAATGAAACTTGATCAGAAAGCTGCCATGACGCTCCAAACATATCCTACCCGTCACAAGTAACGTATAGGTACAGTTACCAGAGCTGTCAGTGCAGATGAAACGTCGCGTCGCGTCGCACTACGTCAAACACCCGCTCACGTTCTGATAACACTATCTCAGTTCATTTGAACAACGGCGTCCGCACTGTTGCAGACTAATTTAATATTTACATAATTTAGCATACTGTTGAAAAAGACAAGTTTTTAAGTCAAATTAATTAAGAGCCTAATTAAGAGATACGGTAAAAAAATTAATGAAAGGTTCTCGAGTGACAGCCTGGTATCGGTAAGCGAAGCGCCAGGATACGTTTCCACCAAGTCAAGGTCACCATAAACCCCTTAGCACGCTACTTCACTTATTCCAAGTTGTCTCGATGCCATTATTATGTATATCTTATATTAAATTTTTACCCTAGAAAACGGTTCCTCCCCTTTAGTTGTCGGTTCTTCGAGCTATATGGCCGGCCCACTGCCACTTCAGCTTACTGATTCGTTGAGCTATGTCGGTTATTCTAGTTTTACCGCGGATATCCTCATTACGAAGTCCTTCACGTAGGGAAGAATTATCAGAAATGTTTAAATCCATGGGAAATTCTCCTAGGTAATCGGGATCAATTTCATATTTTAGATAACTTTGCCGGCTGTTTTACTAAATACCGACACCGATATGAAGCAACACAGTTGTTTGTACTAGACAATAGTACACAATAAAACTAACTATTGGGCTCTACAGTCGATTTTTTTAAATCACTCGTTTTACTCACATTAAGTCGTGTTTATCATTTTCCATCGCACTAATACGTTATGGAAAGAACATTTTTTTTTATAGGACAGGGTGACAAACGAGCACACAGTCCACCTGATAGTAAGTGGTTGCTGTGGCCCATAGACATCTACATCTATCCTCGTTTGCGAATCAAAATGCAGATGCGGTGTCACCCGTGAGGACTAAGATAGAATGGCTCTTTTCGGTAAAAAGGGTCACCGGTTTTCTACACTCACCATACGAAACAGCAGTGTTAAGCTGCTATTTTACGCTGGTATTCTGTGAGAACGTGGTCCTTCCCTGGTCGAGCCGACCCAGTCGTGCTACAACTATACTACTAATATAGCTGCAGCATGGCTCTACCACGTGAGATATGATTAGAAAGAGGAAACACTAATGAACAAGCATGATGCTTGTTTTTAAATCAATAACACGTATATAATAATGTAATAATATAAAAGAAGGTCCGATAGAAAAATTATATTGTGGATGTCCTTTAGTCAGTGGTTCATAAATTATCTGTGTACAAGATATCTCGAGAACTACTTAATTGTGCCAATATTGTTGACGCAATTTTCTGCCGACTCTACGCAATTGAGAGAAGTAAGTCAACAGCCGATCCTACTGTCATTTTATTCACATTGTACGAGTCCTTTATTTTATTTTTGCGCGTGGATTTCACATCTATAAAACAATTAGTCGTATCTGATTTCAGTTAAAAGGTAAACAGGTTCGGATTTCCATCCAATTAACACATGCGCAGTTTTCACTCGTATCAAACCAGTAAGGTACGTCAAGGGGTTGTAAGATCAATAAATATATTACTTATAATTGTGAAGATTACACACATAAACCGTTTAGTGCTGATCTTCCCTACAGACTGTCTGTCGCTCCGAAAACTTGGATGTATGTTATGGACCCAAAAAGTCTACCTTATTGGATTTTCGTGTATCCGGACCTATCACTAGCAACGCTTGCTTGATGAAAAAAATGTGGATTTCATTGCCATTTAGTTTGTTTTTGTTTATTTGAATTCGAATTGTTGTTGTTAATAGCATTAATACGGTTCTAGGCTGAGGTCATTCCCTTCCGATATTTTACCATTAACCTTCCGATCTTTTCCAGTTCCAGAATGATTGCATGACTACACCTTGGCTTGCAGATATAAACTGTGATATTAACTAATGCAATATGTTAGCAAATTATAAAGCTACTAAGCTATAATTATTATATAAATATAGATATATAGTTGAAAGATAAGACTGATGAGATCACAACGAACATTGACATAAGTACGCGCAGCGAATCACATATAATTGAATCACTTAACGATATTGTTTCTGACTCGGACATTGTACATTTAACGAACTCTATCCTAATTTCACGCTGGTATTCCGTGTTTTTTTTTTTTATAGAATAAGGGCGACAAACAAGTACACAGTCCACTTGATGGCAAGTGAATGCCCGGGCCCATAAACATCTACATTTATCCTCGATTAAGAATTAAATTGCAGGTGCGTTGTCACCTCTGAGGACTAAGATGGAATGCCTCATTTCCAGTAAAAATGATCTCCGACTCTCTACTCTTAACATACGAAACCTAGCAGCATTAAGTTGCTATTTTACGCTGGTATTATGTGAGAGCGTGATGCTACCTCGGTCGAGGAGGTACAAATGTGTGGGATATTTGTGCTACAACCCTAATATAGCTGGCGTGGCTCGATCACGTAAAACAAAAATGTGTCACAATTCGTCGTTGACGCCACAAAGGGGCGAACCTCAATTTTTCAAAAAATTACAGGAGCAAGAAAGCAGTTATTATTCCCCGATTACTAGCTTTTTTTCATCAGAAAATGAATCTTATTTTTGGTTTCCATTAAGTCTTATATATTTGATTTTCTGATGAAAAAAAGCTAGTAATCGGGGAATAATAAATGCTTTCTTGCTCTCCTGTAATTTTTTGAAAAATTGAGGTTCGCCCCTTTGCGGCGTCAACGACGAATTGAGTTTTGAGTTGATGGCACGACCTAAGCCTTAAGTACAGTGGACTATTAGCACCACTTTAACCTCACCTTGTTCAGGTACCCATTTCCATTGGGGTCGGAAAGATCCCATATCTTACTGAGCACCACATCGCTGAGCCGCGACTTCTTTAGGAACCGCGCGGCGTCTAACGCCTGGATAGCTCCAGTGCCGTTTGGGTCAACCTGCAATAAACAAATCAAGTTTTTAGTAAACCTGTTAATGGTGAAAATTAGTACGTAGGTGGTAGGAAATAAAAATACGATCTTTTTTATTCAATATAGTCACTCTTTTGTATAATTTACCACTAGTTCGGAGAATTCCTCTGTCCTGGGGAGAACCAGCATGAAACACAGCGGCACTTTTTTCGAAAAAAAAAAAGGAACAGTTTACAATCATTAAAGTTACACAAGTTTTTAACGTGGTAGAGCCATGCTGCAGCTATATTAATAGTATAGTTGTAGCACGAATAGGTCGGCTCGACCGAGGAAGGACCACGCTCTCACAGAATACCAGCGTAAAATAACAGCTTAATGCTGCTGTGTTTCGTATGGTGAGTGTAGAGAACCGGAGACCTATTCTACTGGAAAAGAGGCGTTCTATCTTAGTCCTCAGGCCTGACTACGCATCTGCATTTTAATTCGCAAACGAAGATAGATGTAGATGTCTATGGGCCACAGCGACCACTTACCATCAGGTGGACTGTGTACTCGATTGTCACCCTTATTCTATAAAAAAAAAATATCATTAAAGTCACACAATGATTAACAACACAAAACAAATAAGAAGTAGCATGGTAGCGATCACCTCATTCCCAGGGCTTATTGTTATCCATATTCGGCACCCTCTTACGTATATCTGTCGTCAAATGACACACAATACATACACTGCTGTGTTTCGGTTTGCAGGTTATAGATAACCAGTAGATATAATTACAGGCTAGAGGCGTTACATCCTAATCCTCAAGAGACGCATCTGCGGCTGCCGGTATAAATGGACTGCAATGGCCATTAAACTTCCGATGAACTGTGAGTTCATGAATGTTCATGATATATGTGGTAGAGCCATGCTGCAGCTATATTATGGTTACAGCAAGAACGGGTCGACTTGACCGGGGTAGGACCAGACTCACAGAACACCAGCGTTTAAAATAGCAGCTTAATGCTGCTGTGTTTCGTATGATGAGTGTGCACGCGGAGACCCTTTTTACTGGAAACGAGGCATTCCATTTTAGTTCTCACGAGTGACAACGCATCTGCATTTTGATTCGTAATCGAAGATAGATGTAGATGTCTATGGGCCATAGCTACTACTTACCATCAGGTGGACTGTGTGCTCGTTTGTCACCTTTATTCTATAAAAAAAAAGTTCGTCTGTCACTTCAAATTTATAAAAATAAAAATAATTTAAAATTAAAATGTTGTACAACCGACTTCAATATAAATTATTAAGAATAACTCGAAAACTATTGGTCAGACCTTGATCAACCTCATATGGGACCACATGTTTTCAAATAAAAAAAGAATCATCGAAATCGGTTCACCCAGTAAAAAGTTATGAGGTAACACACAAAAAAACATACAGTCGAATTTAGTACGTCTCCTTTTTGAAGTCGGTAGAAAAAGAGTAGTTTTTGATAATTTTATTACTTACCGAAAGACCTTTATTAGATCTACAGGTTATTTGTTTGATTTCTACGCGAAAACAGTCGTGGGTAAAAGCTAGTATAAAATTAGTCTTCTTGCTGGGCATAGCTCATAGTTTTCGTGATTTACTTCGATATTAACTTAGACATTAATAGAATGGCCGACAAGCACTTGACCGATTTATTAAAGGACCTTTAGTTCTAAGCGTTTTAGTGTCAAGTTAACGACAGGTTTTAGCAGCGTTATAACACCGAAACATAATATAATTATAGGTTTTTTTTAAAATATAGGATAAGAGTGACGAACGAGCACACAGTCTACCTGATGGTAAGTGGATGCTGTGGCCCATAGACATCTACATTTATCCTCGATTAAAAATCAAAACGCACATGCGTTGTCACCCGTGACGTCTAAAATGGAATGCCTCGTTTCCAGTAAAAAGGGTCTCCGCGTGCACACTCACCATACGAAACAGCTGTATTAAGCTACTTTTTTAAACGCTGGTATTCTGTGAGTCTGGTCCTACGCCGGTCAAGCCGACCCGTTCGTGCTGTAACCATAATGGAGCTGCAGCATGGCTCTACCACGTAAAATCCTTATTTATTATCAAGATTCATTCTTTATTAATTTAGTATCCCTATTATAATATTTCTTAGTGATTGGTGCATGGGCCGTATAGCTCGAGGAACCGAAAACCAATGGGAAAGGTATGTTCTCGAATGGCAGCATCGTACTAACCGAAGCGTAGGGCGACCTCTCCACTAAATAAAATGACGACTAGTAAAAGATGCAAGAAGTCTATAGATGTATGTGACTCGGGACCATGCTTTGTGGCTACGTTTCGTCATGTATTTTATTGTTGATAATGTAACCGCTTCAATATACCCAGCGCCACAATTGATAAATCCAGATGGATACTGTCTATCGATGCTTTAGTACGTTACAGATGTGCCGCAGGTTTGGATTCCGCACCCAACTAGTATTTGTTTGGCCTAAAAATATTTGTTTCTATTCTGGATTTTTGCCCACGTGCAAAGTTAGACATTCAGGGACTAAAAGCTAGCTGTCAATCTCACAGTACACGAACATACCGGGTTCGATCCCCGGATGCACCAAATGCAATTGTAAATTGCAATTTTAAGTGAGTTTTGCAGTTGAAGCCGTATATACCTATCTCTTTGTATTATCGTGATGTGATTATTTCTCCAATAAGTCTTTTACAAACACACAACTCTAGAGTGTACCGTGTAGAATCTAACTACTAGTGTATTCTAGTGTAGAAGAAGCTACCAGAAGCTATCAACGTTTTGCTGATCTTGGGAGGCTGGCTAATAAGGCCGTGAGTAGTTTATTACTGTTTTGGTTTAATTTTGTGACACTGCGGTAGCTGAACGTTTCAGGGGATATTGAATCTCTATATCTATACAGTCCACTATATCCATTAATATACTCCCAAGCCGCCATACTATAAAAAGGGCATGAGGTAACTTATTTAGGAAAAGCTTTCAAGATGTTTCTTAAGTAAGTTATGTAAGTAGTTTGTACAACCTATATTTTTATCTTTATATATAAAAATTACATGTCACGTTGTTTGTCCGCGATGAACTCCTAAACTACTGAATTGATTTCAATGAAATTTGCACACTCTGTGCAGTTTGGTCCAACTTGAGAGATAGGATAGTTTTTTTCCTGATAAGTGACACTCAATATTTTTATTACGAATTTAAGGATTTTTAGGGTTCCGTACCTCAGAAGGAAAAAACGGAACCCTTATAGGATCACTTTGTTGTCCGTCTGTCTGTCTTCTGTCAAGACCCTTTTTCTCAGTATCAAGCTGAAATCCTTATTAAATACTCAAGACGTCCCTTAGAGCTGTGAAAAAATCAAACTTCTAAGCAACGCAATCAAAAGATACAGCGGTTTATGCCGTAAATTTTCGACATTCGCAAGGGAATCAAAACCTACAGGGTACTTACTTCCCGTGAACTCAGAATCTTGAAATTTGGTACGAAGCAACGTTTTAGAACAGATAAAGGAAAAATTGCGAAAAGCATAAATTTTTAGTTACATTATACAATGAAAATATTTTTAATAATTTTAAACTTATATACCTACAGATTTTTTCGGAACCCTCGGTGCAGAAACAGAAACAGAAACAGAAACTTTTTTATTCAATATAGATTATAAATAATACTTATTGAAAGTCACTCTTTTGTATAATTACCACTGGTTCGAAAAAAAAACCTCTGTCCTGGGAAGAACGATCATTAGCGATCACCTCATTTCCAGGGGTTATTATCATCTATAAATTCATTAATATTATAATAACCCTTTTTATACAAACTTAGTTTAATAAAGTTTTTGAACTTTGAGCAGGTCAAATTTTGCATATTTTCTGGAATTTTGTTGTAAAAGCGTATACATCGCCCCAAGAATGAATTACTGACTCGATGGAGTCGAGTAACTGGTACTACTAGCTTGTGTCTGTTCCTAGTATTTACAGAATGAATATCACTTATTTTTGTAAAACTACTTTTATTTTTGTGTACGTATATTACATTTTCATAAATGTATTGAGAGGCCAATGTTAATATATTAATTTCCTTAAATTTTTGTCGCAGCGACTCTTTAAGCTTTAAATCATAAATTGCTCTTATGGCCCTCTTCTGTAAAACAAATATAATTTCAGTGTCAGCTGCGTGTCCCCATAGCAAAATACCATACGACATTATGCTATGGAAATAGCTAAAGTAAACTAGTCTAGCTGTTTCAACACTAGTTAAACTTCTAATCTCTTTTACGGCATATGCTGCAGAACTAAGTCTGCTTGCTAGTTTTGATATATGGGGGCTCCATTGAAGCTTCGCGTCTAGTGTGATTCGGAAAATGGTGGTATCTACAAGACTCAAGTTTCTCCCCATTTAAAATTACATTAGTATTTAATTGTTTGACATTTGGAGTCATGAATTTCATACATTTCGTTTTAGTGCCATTTAAATGCAAATTATTAACATTGAACCAATTTACTAATTTAGATAGAATTTGCGCGAGTCCGACTCGCACTTTGCCGGTTTTTTATATGAAGGGTCGTTTAAAAAGGCAGAACAACGTCTGCCTGGCCAGCGTGTATACTATATATACTTTGAAAAAAATCACGTTGTGTTTCATTGCTGGTTCTTCCCTGTACAGAGGTTTTATTCCGAACCAGCGGTAAAAGTAAAAATTGACTTTTAATAAGAATTACTTATAATATAGAGCAATTTTTCGAATATCATCCTACTCGAAAAATTGCTGGAGTTACTTGGAGGAGAATTACCCAGGATCGAAAAGCGTGGCAAGCTCTAGGGGAGGCCTTTGCGGATACGCAAGACAATCATAAAACCGGTGTCTAATAATTAATGTATATATTTAAGTTTAATTAAGTTAATATCACCTCATATATATTTTTCTTTTATTACTTAGTGTTTTCATACGCATATTTTGTAAGATTGTTAAATAACGGCTATTATTATTATTATTATTATGTTCAGAATAATATA